GTTTCTTTAGCAATTTCATATTTCTACACGTTGTTCCCAATTGGACACGAATCAACAACTCCCATTAAAATTACCTCATATGGCAATTTGAGACAACATACGAGGGTCACTCAATAAGTTATGTACCTGAATAAGAAAGAAACATCCGAGGGGAAAAATAATACTTTATTTTTCAATGTAGTCACCTTTTAACTCAACACACTTATTCCACTTTGATTCCAAGGATTTTATTCCCTGGGAATAGAAGTGAACTTCTTGTCCATCAAACCAATCAGAAACTGCATCTTTCACCTCTTCATTACATGAAAATATTTTTCCCCGCAAAAATGTTTTCAAGTGTCTGAACAGAAAATAGTCACNTTCTTCTGAGCTGGAGTCAGCATTCTTGGGACCCATCGAGAACTGACTTTGGACATGTGTAATTTTTCATGAATAATGTGAATCACTGTGCCCTCTGAAATCCCCAGTTCATGAGCTAAAACAGAGACTTTGGTGCGACGATCCTCCAGTATCGCACTCTCCAATTTGTCACACATTTCCTGATCAGAAGCCTCCACAGTGCGCACCGCCCTTGGGTCATCTTCAATTGATTCTCTTCCCCACTTAAACTGCTTGCTCCAAAATTTAACTCTGTAATAAGAAGGCGAAGACACCCCATAAACGTTAGACATACGTTCATGAATCCCCTTAGGTGTTTTCCCTTCTTTGGTGAGGAATTTGATCACTGAACGATGTTCGACTTTCGTCAAATCCATGACACAGACTCAGGAAAAGAAATCTAATGCGCTACCACTTTGAACGGACTTGAGCCACTGAGCTGGTATAGTGGTGGTGCACTCACGAGACCTGTCGAGATATTTCACAACAGGCACAGGCCTGTTGCTCATCCCTTTCATATTCAGGTAGATAACTTATTGAGTGGCCCTCGTACTCCTTAGGATCCTTCAAAAAAGACATCCTAAATATTGCATTTTTCTTCCAAGGCTTTCGAACTAAAATTTGTGCAGTAAAGAGTGAACTTACTGTTAATGAGTAGCGTAATGGACGCCCTAAACCCTTCGAGCCTTTAGTACAATAATTGCACAAGGTTTTGGGATACATATGTATAGTTGACATTTCAGCAATATATATTTTAGGAGTTTTGCCTTTTACTTGTGAACTATGCCTGCTGAAAATAAATTAGGACGAGGATGGAGCCTCAACCCCATATAAGGTATGCACAAACCATGTTAATGATGTACAGGGTGATCCATTTGACAAGTTTACCGATGAATGCTTATGTACAAAAACCTCATCACAAACCTATGAACTGAAGAAGCAGAAACCACGTAAACTATAGGCAGCCTGGGCTTCTACGGATATGAGAACCAAGCATCGGAAATATGGGGTTCATGTAACGCAAGAGGGTGGGTTAGGATTATAATAGGGTCATTAAATACAGGATATTCTAAACTGCAGCAGAAAGCATTTCCTGTAGGATAATCGCGATCGCATGCCGTATGGCAGTATTCAGATCGTGGAGTGTGGTGGGACCATGCAATGAAAGCGAGTCTTCATGTAGCCCCACGACCAAAAATCTGCTGGTGTGAGGTCGGGAGATGGAGTAAACCATTCTGTAAACCATGGGATTATGCGTTCTTTCAAAATGTTGTTGGAGCGGAGCTTGAACCTTTCTGGAAAAGAGGAGTGGCCAATGAACATTACTTCATTCGCAGCGTTTCGCTGCTGCAGGTCCGGAATGACGTGCTACTCCAATAACCACTTATAACGCATTGCAGTTACAGTGACCGTTTCGAAACTGTGCTGTGTGAGCTCTTCAAAGGGAAAGTAGCCTAAAAGAAAGTCCTGGGTGGATCCACACCACACAGCTACATTTTTCATTGTGGAGAGGCGCTTGGGCAACGTTGCGTGGATTTTCAGATGAAGCAATTCTTGGTAAGAACCCATGAACTGTGAAATGGGCTTCTTTGCTCCAAAGGATGATGGAAAACCACGTTTCAACTTCCACACCTGCCAGGAACTCCAACACAAAGTTGTAGCGCTTCCCCATGTCGAAAGCTGACAAAGCCTGAACCCGCTGAGAACGATATGGAAACAGCCGAAGCCCCAATCTCATCATTCATTGAACTGTCTCTCTCAGTTTTCCAGTGCAACGTACAACAGATCTTGCACTGACAGGACAGGATCAACAGCGATGTCGCGCATTCTTCCAATACTGCCAGGGCCACTGCCGCTACCATGTCTTCCGAAACTCCACGACCTTCTTTCCTCATCTTATTGACCACACATCCAATCTTTTCAAATTTTGTTGCAACAGGTTTTCCCAACGCTGTTCGTGAGCATGGACCTTCTTGCATGCTGTGGTTTCGACGGTGCGACCTCAAGGCGGCCTCCTCATTCTTTCCATTTTCGTAAAACTTTTTAATCACTTCGATTCTCGTAGCGAGCCCTGACATGTTGAGCCGCCGTCACACACAGACCTTTTATACTGTTCGCGGACCATGTGACAAGCAAATTGTGCGATGGTGGTGCCATCTGTTGCCACTCTTCATGGATTTGAGAATCTCACGCTGCAAATAGTTTACAAGCTAAGTTTCAGTTTCTTAAGCCATGTACAATACAAACCAAAGAATTTTTTATCGGTAAACTTTCCACATGGGTCATCCTGTAGATAGTGAAAGATATGTGCATGTAACAGCAATACTGAACCTGAACTTCAACATTTATATGCTGTTAAAGGCTTCATTTGTTACTAGTAGGACTCTTGTACGTACTACGAATGAGTCGATAAAGATGAACTGGAGAGACTAACTCTTTTTTTTTTTTAGAAAAGCAGAGACCATGGTGGTATGATGTCAGAATGGAACATACAGGGTGTCCGAGAATGGAGACGTCGATTTCAAATCAAAATTTCTCATCAAGGGGAAACAGAAAAACGTGCGGTTTACACTAAAGTAAAGGCTCGTGTTGCGAATTCATTCACCCTACACGATATTCTAGGTAGTTCGTTAGTTCCTCGCTGTGGTGTGCTGTAAGCCAGTTCCCACTGTGTCCAAGGAAGAGGGGGGGGGGGGGGGGTTTGGGGGTACCCCCTTGGAGCATTTTACAGATTTGATTCTCCATAATTTTTTTTTGCTATTTATTGGGTGACCGAATTTTCATGTCAACCCCCCCCCCATTGGGATTTTCTGGGCACGCTACTGAGAAGCTATAATGGCACCTATGGAGGAAAAAAGCTAATGCGTGATATGGTTAGCGCAATTTCAATCCGTTACTCGTGTCTAGCGCAAATTTAGACGTGTATATGATGTATATGATACAGAACTTCCTTACAAGTCCAGTCCGAAACGAACCTCGTTTCACATGGAAAAAATAAAGCTCCCTCCCCTCAATAAAAAAACCGTTATCACAAATGGATTAATCTCATTCATCGAATTCATGGAGCTTTGGATTTTCGCAATCCTCATGGATATTACCTGAGAAGCATTGACGATGGTGAAGAGGTAGATGAAGACAGGCGTTACCTGCATGTACAAGAACCCGAACATCCAGCCAGTGCCCAGTAGGCACGACAGAGACACTGTGGTCCACACCAGATGACTACAGAAATGCAACATTTTCTGTTGGCACAATAATCTCTTGAAGGCAAAAATAAATAAAAAATCCGTAAGGCTTCTTACAAGTCATGTTTCTGTTTTGAGTGGCCGACTTGCCCTCTACCACTGATGTTTCGAATTACCAGAAACAAGAAGAGGACATTCAATAAAATAATGACAAGCACAGGACCGGCGAAAGTCCAGATGTAGTACGGTGACGACAACCAGCAGCTGAAAAAAGGAAATTGAGACCCATTATTATTTAAAAATTGCCTATTTTAGGTTCAATTCCTTTGTTGCTCTCATGACATCGCCTTGAGCGTCACAATCCGGTCATACAAGAGTTGTACGTTTACTTCCCGGACTGTGCCTGTATGTCCACATTAGGCTGTGATTGCGTCAGAATTTCGTAACATGTTGCGAGAAGCATCCTGGGTCAAGACTCTGGGACTGTCAAATTCTGCCTTGAGCATGGTGTTCTGGAATCACAGGCCATTACGTATAGACGTGCACGAGCTTTGAGGAACACTGCATGAGGAAAGCTGAAGCTTTCCAACGCTGAAGATTGCACGAAATCAATGAACTCAGAGGGGAAATATGAAAAGATAAAGTTTACATTTAGAAAATGCAGACATGCAGGTGAACCACTGCTGGCAGCCCAAACAAAAGAATCCGACAAGGGAATAACTCAAAGAAGATAGTGCGTCACAAGTGTACTGCCGGGAGACTTCACTCTACTGCTGATTCTTTGGCATTTGTCAGCAAGAATGTCACAGAAATAATTGAATTAAAGAACCTTATTGGTGATCCCCCTCTCTCAATCTCTAAAGTGAAAGCAGGAACAGGTCAGAAAGCAGTAGAAAACCTCGCCATTCGTTTGATGGTTTGTTGGCGTCGAGGAGGAGCACACCTTGAACATGTCCTTTAGTAACGGTGTGTACCTTTCTTTGAGTCTAATTTTTACTGTTCCATATCTCACTTCAGCAAGTCAATTGTCATATGGTTTCCAGGCGATGAAAGCTAATCTCATCTCTGTCACAACAATTAAAAGTTCATGTTCAATATAATACCAGAAATTTTAATAATTACATTTTTTAGACACCGTGTACGTTGAATTTTGGAAGGTGCATGCCTAGTTTTGGTTTAAACTTAAACTTGCTACGAAACGGAATTTTTTCAAGCTGGAGAGGTTTTTCAAAATAACAGAACCGAACTCATATAATAACGGAACCTTTGTACATTTTTGTTCTATATTATGTTCTACAGAACATAATATGGAACAAAAATGTATAAAACCTATATGTATAGAACCTTATGTTCTATAATTTTCAAGGATCGTTACAGATATTTTCTGATCTGAACTCCTGAATCACCGAACTTAAAAGTTGAATATGCAGGCAGGTCTCACAACTCTCCATCTCCGTATCCATGAGTGTCGGTGCCAAAGGAAACAGCAGCCGTGATGCCAACTATCCCAAAAGGAACAGCGTATCCGACGATCAAGTACATCCGAGCGGAGAGGTTGTAGTTAGTTGGGAACACCTGGGCAAGGTGCTGATGGATGAAGATGCCCTCCAAGGCCATCCACATGAAGGCACAGAGGAAAAAGTAGTGAAGTAGTACTCCCGACAGGGCACAACCGATCTGCATTATATCGGAGGTATTCAATGTGAGCCCATGAAAGTATGCATCTTTCTTAAATATTCTAATTTTTACAAAACCCAGTTTTTAGTTGGTTGCTTTCGTTATTAAGTATTCACAACAGAATTAACGCAATGGGTACTATTAGGGAATTTCTTGCAGTGATTGAAGCAGATTCACTTTCGAAGAGTCCAATATCAGTGGATTTGGCCAACCCGGGAATCCCACAATGACCTCTTGGAGGAAATGAATAACTAACCGCATAACCTAATTGGTGATATACATCAGTGGGCGAGGAGCTGTATTCCACAATAGATTCCGTTCCCATAGGATTTTAAAACGTTTCTGGCCAAGAAAAAAAAAATTGACTTATGCCAACCAACTTCATTGAATTTGTCGAGAAGTAAAATGCCGAAAGGGAAAATTGTAGAAAACCAGAATGTCCTTTCGCCCTTATTGACTTTCGACAATGTCGAAATGAAAATGGTAGAATCTAGTTTTTTCAAGTCATTGAATCCATGAGGTCAACTCTCAAGTCGACCATTGAAAAGTTTAGATTGCGTGCGATGGCTCGCAAATACTCCATAGCATTGTTGTAATCATCACATACTGCTTTCAGTCATGCATCGCGGGTAACATCTTGCTTCCTCCGTTGTTTTAGGGGTGACCCCATTTCTCGCCTGGCAATCTCCAGTACCACTTATGCTTGCTCCTTTAATAATGCTTGACGGAGGTGAAACACATTAGAAATGCACTTTCCGTGGATGGAATTTAAACATTGATGCCACCCTTCAAGGTCAATATTAGTTTTCCGAAGCACGTTGGATTTGACACCATGCAGCACATTTCACATGATCGGCGGAAATGCTGCGCACCTTCACGGTCTCCCACGCGACCGGCGCCCGTCAACGTATAACTCTCTGAAATGGATAGTCACCGGCGCGGCATCCGGATACATTCTGGGAAGGAGTTCTTCAAACAGATCAGGAATATCCAAACTGGAACGAATGCCATTGACACCATCATCCGTATTGACAAGGAGGATTCATCTGAGTATAGTCGAGCTAATCCTTCCTCTTGAACTTTTCTCCACAGATTCTGACTGAAATAAAGCATCCACTAATGGCATGACTTCCTGGATTGCTGAGATCATGCGACTCTCAAAGTCTGTCACGAGATGTCTGAGGGAAACAGGAAGATTATTCTCCTCATAATAATCCATGACAATTGAGCATTGCTTTATAGGAATTAGCACACATATCACTCATCAATCCATACAATAAAGGAAATATGTATCCGTGGACTTCTGTACGGAATGTGTACAGCTGCGCAATGGAATCTTTTTGACACGAGGGCCAGCAGAGAAGGTTACATCTGAATACCATCTGGTAGCGCGAGATAGATGCTGCATATTCTCATTGGTCGCGAACAGCAACATCCGGGAACTAGTCTCATCACCGAGCAGGTATCGATCGTTGTCAAAGGTCACCTTGTAGGATGGTGGTAGAACAGGATGATCCGAGACAGCTGGCAGAGCTGGTACATCCTTCTGTCGCTCTTTAAAGGAAATAAATTAAGCTATATTCTTCGATATAGCTTAATTTATTTCCTTTAATGTGAACAGATTTTCCTTTTTCCAGAGTCACTTTTCTACATGACAATAGTCAATGTTTCCAAGGTTTTGCCAAACCGGAAATGCCGTTAACCTTTGGAGAGTTTATTAAAATTGGAAATGGAGAATGGTACATGCCATTCCATATGGAATCCACCGATTGTGGAAACGTGAAAACGTTCAGGCCATTCTAAATGAGCGAGTTGAGGTTCTCTTGCATGCAGGAAATAAGTAAGAAATTCTCTCAATAAACCGTACAAACCAGAATCACCAGTGTTGAAGTATATAAATGACTTGGAATTATCTGAGCGTTTCAAATCATACCCGCTCATCTTAAACCTAAGTAAGGCGCAATTGGGAGTAATGAATTACTACAACTAGATGATGGAGTTCCAAATCTAATATTTTTCACATGTGAGTTCTTAATTTGCTTCTATAGCATGACAATGGATATACTTGGAACATTATTAAAGGGAAGGTACTTATAACTAATTCACGGTGTAGTAATGGTGAAATCCAATAGCGTTATTTATATGCGGAAACTTACCTCTGGCAAATTAAAAACTTGTCGGTCAAGTAGTAGGAGCATAAGAATATGGCACACCAAGAGACAAAAACACAAATGTTTGTTCAGCTTCACCGATTTCAAAGTTGCGTTCCTAGAAAGGACGAAGTCATCAGCATTCAGAAAGTTTGTTGGATATCCTACAAGTGCGCAATGGAAACGGACTTTGTAACGTGGAAAATGATCAAGGCAAGAGTGAGTCCGAGGATGGAGACAGAAGATAGGCAGATGGTGAGGGCTTCTAGCGCCACACTACGTCCCTGAAACAAACGCATGCTGCAGAAACATCCTCCATTTCGTACGAGTTTTAATCGTATATTTCCGAGGAAACATTAGAAGCAATTCCCTCGGACTTACAACATAACCGTGTAGGTCCATGAGAACTCCGAAGTTGGTCAGATGGTTGCATTCACAGATTGTTTGTTCCCTGTCAGAAGACACCTCATGGCAGCCAGTCGTGTCCCAATAACCTCTGAAATGAATGCGTAATCAGGCATGTGCACACATTGGATATGCATATGAAACCAACTATCTCCAAATGTGGTATGCACGCACTGTTTATTGAAATTCCAGAAGGTGCAGCGATGGGATAGAGGCACAAATGTTGGTTCCTCTCCTTCATGAAGGTCTCTCCAAATGTCATGGTACGGCGGGTCTCGAGGAGCGTCCAAATTTTCCATGACGAGAGTGACATTATTCCTGAGTTTCGTAGTTTGATCGATTTCGAAGGTTAAACTCAAAAGTTTAGAATTTACTGTTTTCTGTTCTTCCAACCTATAAATGAGCAGTATGTCAATATTATAAAATGACTGATGTCTACCGGTTGATTTTTCAAGCAACAACATACACATTTCGATGACCAGGCAGGAGTTGGTTCACATCCTGAATGTTATACAAGACCCCGACGTAAGAGAAATAGTCGCCATCCAAATCATCTTGAAATGTCCTGGGCAATATCAAGTACGTTCTGCTCTCATGTTCTGCACTGGGGAAAATGAGTGGGTTTACGACTCCTTTCTTTTGCCCAGAGATTTCGATAAGAAATGTCGATTTTTCCTCTGCAAACTCAAGTTGCTCATGAAACTCCGAAATGAGCTTTTCCGACAGTCGAAGACAGTAATGGCTGACTGTCGTTAGGAGGGTTGAGAAAGTCTCTGTTCGGTTTGGCTGCAATGGAAGGACAATGAACACATTTATATACTAATATGCATTCCTCACTATAATGCATCATCAGAAAAAAAACAGCGCTCTCCTCAAACATGAGTGGATATTGCCCACTCCTCGTCCATAGCTCGAAATCCCGCGCACCGATCACGACGATTTCCGTTGGATTGGAAGATATTTTAGTTCTCCACTAGTTAAGATGTAATACATGACAACTCATCCAGGAGTTTTGATAGGGCGACCAAGAAAGGATAGAAATGATCGTCCCGTCCATTGCGCCTCTCCATCGCATTTTTTTGAAATGGTATATTTCTCTTGTAGTTGTATACATGGGAAGTAGCTAGTCTCTACATATATGTTCTCTTATTGATATAGATCACAAGATCACATGAATTACATAATGCTGGAAAGGACATCAGTTGGTTTTTGCTTTAGGTATTCCTAAAAAAACGCATGCCTTAGCCCACTTTGCACATTTTCTGCATTTCATTCCACATGAACGTGGGCCACGCCTTGTGCTGCACCCATACGTCCCACATGACATTTGAAAGCATACACATTTTGTCCAAACGTTTTTGGAACGACATTATGTTCACCTGAGCAATATCCATCCATCCGGTGCCAGCTCTGAGAACATAATCCGTGACCACTGTGAAGTTCGTGAGAAACATCCGAGCACTCTCCATGTGCCGACCATCTCCGCTCAGGTTTTTCAAAAAGTTCTCGAAAAGCGGGTCGAGAAAATCCACAATATCTTCGATCTCCTCCCCTGACAACTCTTTTTCACCTTCAATCGCTGAAGTCAAGTTCGATATGATGTCCAAAGAACTTGAGTCGTTGAGCTGGGATAGGTGAAAATTCCACTGCAGCGTCGTTTATTGCAAAATGAAGGAAATTAAACTCAAACAATGAGAAAAACTCACCATGCCGAAGAGCTCATCGATGAAGTCACTCAACTCATAGCAGCCATGAATCAATTCACACTGCTGAACTGAAAATTTGTGTTCCACCAGATAGAATAATATCACATTAGAATGGATAGACATAAGTATTGGGGATTTGCATTACACACGGCAATTGTGAACAACATCACATATTACAATTAATATTTGAATATGTGGCCTTTCAAAATTCATATTGCCTGTGTTTCAAACATTTTACACTGAAGTAAATTAAGAATAATTCTTCAAGGACACTCCCATTCTTCACATAGCACATTTCAACAAATGAGGATGCATAGAAACATTAGCCAAATTTCTTCAAAAGACTACAATGACGTATGTTTTCCAACAACTTCCGCATTAGGGCCCCATCGTATAAATAGGTCAGTGGAATATAGCGGGTTGAGGTATAGTGCAATAAGTTCACAACATTTCATTATGATTTCCAGCAATACGTGATGTCCAGTATCATATGTGCTAATACTTTTCTGGAGCGAAGCATGGCTCATTCTAAAAAATTTCGTTTATCAAGATAAGGGAAAATATTTCAGAAGCTGTTTCTCCATTTGATACCTTCGGAAGTGAGTCTAACGCAGCATGAATTGACGAAGATTCATGTACAAAAATGCATAAATCTCGAAGAGGTGAAATTAGGGAGTATTGGGACAATGTTTTCAAAGAAAGAATCACTAAACGTGGAGTTGAAAAAAGGTGTACGATAAGAAATAGAAAAAAAATGGGAAAATGATCTACAATATATCATGAAAAAAAATTTGAAAAAAAATTGGTGAGTGCAAAAAATGCATGTTATTTATTACAGTCTGTGAGCTAAATAAAAGTACACCCTGAAAAAAGCAATGCCTAAAAAATAAATCCATTGAGTAGTTAACGGATCATACAAGAAAATCATTGAACTTCTTCCTCAACGTACCGAATAGAGATGACGAGAAAGTTAAGGCTGGAGACCAGATCGACAATCTCGTCGCAACATTGAGGTACACATTGCGCGCATTACGCAACATGAGAAAACTAAATGAATCAACTCACTACAAGCATCACCAACTGCTACGTATCCCTCCACGCATTGGCACGTATTTGATCCATCTTCTTCCACACATTCCATATTCGTTGTCGTACAATTTGCGAGTTCGGCGTCGCATGGATCCCCCAGACCTGGCTTCTCATCAACTGTTGAAGGAAAACCAAGAGAAAGCTATGCACGGAACATCGATCAATCCTCTGCCAACCCGTCCCACGTGTGCACGGAATATCGAATGGGAGAGAAGATACCTAACTCAATTCCCTCTTGGAAAGAGCAAGGGGAGGAGATCCATTTCAAAGGAAAGGACCTTTCGAAAAATCGTTGTACTGATCATACTATTCCTCTAAGAGCAGAATCGCGAAAAAGGAACTATTAACACTAAGGACCAGATCGAGAATGTCGACATGAACATGGGGTACATGGCGCTCATTCCGCTACCAGAGAAAACTAAATCAATTAACTCACTGCAAACATTGCCAACTGCTACTAATCCGTCCACGCATTGGCAGGTCTGTGATCCATCCTCTTCGACGCATTCTGTGTTCCTTGTATTGCAATTTACGAGTTCGGTGTCGCATGGTTCCCCGAGACCTGGATTCTCACCAACTGTTGAAGGAAAATGTAGAGAAAGCGATGATTTGGAGAACATTGAACAATTCTCAGCCGACCAATCCCACTTTTACACTGAATACAGGAAGAGGAAATTTGATATTTGATGAATCACTCTTCCTTCGCATTTTTAAAAGGCCATGGGGATAACTTTAGTTTTACAACATAAAAGGACCAATTTGGATATTCGTTATACTAGTTCTGTCTTGGGAAATAGGATAGTGGAAAATGGAATTGATTAATCTGTCTACATGATCGTGTATTCCGACGCAATTGAGGGAATTTATCACGCATTCCCCTTTCTAGGGAACACTTAATAAATCAACTCACTGCAAGCATCTCCAACTTGTACGAATCCACCCACACATTGACATGTTTTTGATCCATTTTCTTCCACGCATTCCGCATTCGTTGTCTTGCAATTTGCGAGTTCGGTGTCGCATGGTTCCCCCAGACCTGGATTCTCACCAACTGTTGAAGGAAAATGTAGACAAAGCGACGAGTGGGAGAATGTCGAACAATTCTCAGCCGACCCATCCCACAGGAGACACGAATATGGAAACGGGTAAAAAAGGCAGTTAATATATCATACTCCATTCGCTCTGTTAAAGCATAAGGGGAAGATATTCCTTTTACAGGAAAGGACCAAGTTCGATATTCTTTCGACTTGTTCTCTTCTGTACGGAATGCCGTATCGCGAAAGTGGATTCGTTTATACTGTGTACCTGACCGAGTAAAGTGAGGGACAAAACTGTGTCTATGTTTGACAGTTCCAGTTGATTCATACCTCTGTTGTGTCGTTTTCAATTTAGCTTAAATTTCAATCAATCATATTCCTACTTCCTGGCTTTCGATTGGTGCTAGTCCCTTGTCAATTGTCCTATTAGGTGAGCTGCAGCTGTTTGAAGTCAAGCAGGTCATTGACACAGTTTTGTCCCTCAAACTCAGACATAGAGAAATTCGAAATTAATAATAGTCTGTGTATTTGCCTTCAGCCTTCATCACAACCAGTACCCTTCTACACATGTCCTCGATCAAGTCCAATCATATTTGGAATTGAATGGAGTCCGAATCGGTTGTGACCAACCGCCACACCTCGTTGATGGTGAATGGCTCATTTTCTTACACCGCTAGCCTTCGTTTCAAGTGTTGCTGCAAGGGTTCTATAGGCTGGCTAAGGGATGACGTATTCGATTATGTCAGAGCATAGTGGCTTTCCAAATATCCAGTCTGTTTCAACGTAAGTTGGCGGATATTTGCAATGTCTTTTCCCGTTAGGTGAAATTGTGCTTTTCTTGTAATTGTATCTGGTTGTAAGCGCCATTGTAGTTCAGCTGCGTGTTCAATCAATTCCCTCGCGATGGCAGGCGAAAGAAGGAATGGAATTAGGCCTTTCATAGGCCTAGCTTTAGTCTCGCTGCAGAAGATCTTTCAAATTGCAGGGGTTTCTTCTCAACCTCACAGTCTAAAATTAAATGCTCAAATTCTGTAGCAACTTGCATCTCTTTATAACAACTCTTATCCAACGTCTAAATATATTCATTCTGTATTCAAAGTCCTACCATTGTTTAAAATTGCTAGCATAATTTCACTTCATAAGATAGGCAACATGCAAGATCCCACCAATACAGGCCTACCTCAATATTTCCAATAATTTATTTGAATAATATTTGAGCATCACATTGCCAGCTCCACCTATTCTTTTGTCTCTGATTTAAGCCTCCTGCATCCCAACCAATACGGCTTCAGACCCCAGCATTGTTGCCAAACAGCCCTCATCAAATTCTGTGATGATGAGTTAAGAAAAATGTTCAATGGAAACTTTATTGGTGGAGTATTCCTTGACCTCTCAAAAGCATTTGACTCAGTCCCCCATGACAAGCTCCTAGCTAAATAACCTCATTATATCATATCTCTCTCAGTAGTGGAACTTTTTAAAAGCTATCTCTGGGATTGGTTTTATTTCATCAAATTAGGAAACTCATCCTCAGCAATCCACCCTACCTTCCTCATTGGTGTTCCGTAAGATTCTGTTCTTGGTTTCCTCTAATTTATCTCGTACATTAATGACCTTACTCAAGCTATCACAAACTGCACAATTGGCCTCTATGCAGATGATGAAACCTTATATTTCTCATCTGCAAACCTGGATTAAAACCAGGTTTCATCAGTCAAGTCTTGACAGGCTTGCTGAATGGGCCCCTGCAGCACACTTAATCAATCCTGAACAAACAAAAAGCTTACTGTATATACAAAATCTCTTCCAAAATTGCTCCAAGTTACCTCTCCCCATATCTCTCTCCCAACCAGGAAATACCACACACTATCTCCACTCCCTCAATTCCATGAAGTCATGCATCCCACAAGCCCTCACAAAAACATCCCAGAAAAACCTCAAGTAAAGGGGCATCAAGCACCATCATCTTAATCAATTAAGGTACTCCCCCACTCTACGTAGATTGAAAACTGACCTGAAAGACTGCTTACTAGCACAATACCTACCACAACTACTTCACCACCATAACCCATCACTTTTATTATGCTCTACTCATGTTTTTTCGCTCCCCTCTGCTGGACACACCCCACAGATTAGTTCTCTTTCCCCACTCATTTATACACATTTCTCCTGCATAGGTTTATGTGGCCCTTCCCACTTCTCTATATTCTTTTCTTCCCGTTTCCTTTTCCCCTGTCCTTCATTCCTAATACGTTTGATGCCTCTCCTGCCCACAAAGCAATTGAGCTATTAGTTAAGCTCCTGTATAGCCAACTAACATGGACATAAATCATTCATCCATCAGGTATGGGAAGTCCAAAGTTGGGTCTAGGCCTGACATTATGCTTTTCAATATTGAACTCTACCGGATACCCCAGGCTTATTATGGTCTACAGTCTACCCAGGTCTACAGATAGCCCAGGCCTATTATGAAAAGGCCTAGGATTAAGGGTTGAGTAACTTTCCATGCTCTGAGGGTTGGCCCGTTGCGAGATTTTTCCTCACCTCGACTGAATAGGTAACATTCTTCTAACTGACAAAAACGTTGCCATGCATAGTTCCCAGAGTTCCTACATCAATGAGTTTGTGAACATCTTTTGATACATATACGAGTTCGCGTTTCTTAAGAATCGAAATATCATCAGCGACAAAGTCTGCAATTGCTGAACAAGGTAAAGGGCCCGTGGGGCCAGAGAGAAAGTAAAGGCGACACATGGAGAACACAGCCCGACATAAGAGTGTTTGGAAACAGCGTGGTGTGCTCACTGCAGTCCCCATGACGTCACTTATAGCCAGCCTATTGACTGGTGACTGCAGGCCATTCTAGGACAACGATTATGTGGTCCTGGACGCATTGGTGAGCCACCTGTAAGTGTGTTTCGGATCATTGTCCGGCTGAAACACCACTTCTCTCATTTCGAACCAGTCTATCTCAATTGTTGATACCAATTCTCCCTCAAGGATGCTTGTATGCACCTTGACATCTATTCTTCCTTGTATTTGACATCCACATCAAACTTCCTGGGTCATGATGCAACCTAAAACGTGAGGATGACCTAACTATTCTTGAGGGTTACCCTCACATGTAATCTGTAAGGACTACGACAGTTGGTGGAATTCGCCTGCCTCCACAAACACTGGACAGTAGAGGACAGGAACCATTTAATTTGGTCAAACGATACTAAAATCAACCTCGTGAAGTCGGATGGGCGTGGTTGGAAATGAAAAACAGCGCGGCAAAGCCTTAACAGAGTGGTATGTCAGAGATGCCATGATAGTATGGTAAAGGTAGCCTGATGTTTTGGGGGTGCATGACGGCCAAGGGATATGAATGTCAAATACAAGGAAGAATAGATGCCAAGATGCATACAAAACATCCTCGAAGAAAAATTGCGAACGAAAATTAAGACGGACTGGTTCTAAATGAAAGAGGAGGTGCTTCAGCCAATGAACCGAAACACAATTGGCGGGAGCACACCAATACTTCAAGAACCACAGAATCGATGTCATGTCCAAGAATGCCCAGAAGTCACCAGACCTCAACACAATGAAACTCTTGCGGTAATACTTGAGGCAGGGGCGAGCGGTGCATGAAAATAAACCATTCAACATACACAAGATGTAGCGGTAAGTCACATCTGCTTGGGATACCATTCCTGACGAAAAAGATAAAAACTTGATCGAGAGAATGTCTATTAGGGTACTGGTGAAGTTCATGGCAGAAGGCGAAAGAACATAATATTTCTAAATTAAAAATTCTCAGCCAGAGTGTGAGGTGCAAAACAACATAGATTGACCAGTACATTGACCTGGATGGCTATTAAATGCTGCATCTCAGCCAATTACAAAACAGTTGACAATGAAAAGCAATATTAGAAATCCAGGAAGTAGGAGAATGATTGACTGAAATGTAAGTTAAATTGAAAACGTCAAAATCCAGCTATGAGTACTCAGCAAAAACTATCAGACATTGACA